ACAGTAGTCCTTTCTACACAAGAGCAAATGCCCTACATTAACTTCAGACCTCATAAAATAAATTCTACAGTAACCCCGGCCACACAGTGCATACCCTGTAGAGGCGTGTAGATCCCTACAACTACCCGAAGGGGCTCTCCTTTCAAAGTTGGTGTTCATGGCCTCACACAGCCCAAACTACACAGAGTTCTTTCGACTATATGGACTGCAGAGGTATTTGATTTGGATACATCAGAGTACTCTTCATGTTCACACAAAGCCCAATTTCACATCCCAAAAAATGTTGGTCGCTACAGAAGTGTCAAGAAAGAGGCTCAGATGATAAAGGTCTATAATGAGAATCAGAAGCTCATGTGGCTCCGTCCCTCTTGGCTAGAGTCCCTAGCGCACGCAACAGCGTGCGTAGCCGCCTGTTAATCGAAAAATCGATGAGACAGACATGACTAGGCGATCGATTTTTGTAGAGGACCACTGTCTTCTCATTGATAGTAAAATACGGGATTGGGTGCAAGGCCAGTTACTATTTGAACTATGTGCACAGAAACGTTTTAGCACGGGTTGTGCATCCTCTGAGAACTCAGTCGTTCTTGTCTGAAGACCTAGTAATTTTCTGGATTACGTATCATGATTCAGTTCGACAATTTATTCTCGGCTTTTTTTCTGCAAATGAATGACCATCGCATCCCAGTTCTTGTCTTCGTATTCGAAATTGCTTTTATAATCACTTTATCTCTTATTGATGTTGAAACTGAAAATTTATTCGCTATAGGGTTGAGCCGATATCCATTAAACACAAGAGCAGAGATACTCAAACCTCAGTAGGTGAGTGGTAGTATTCAAACATTAAAAGTGATTATTTCGTCTGTTCCAAGGTTTAACAACAATGGATCGCATGGTGTCTATTGAAGATATCATCGAAGGATCTACCGTATTGGTCATATGGAACGATAGACACAATGCGTACATGCTTTTCAGGTTACCCTTACCAATGCAATGTTGTTTTTTGGTATCAGCTGCTTAAATTACGTATCTTTGAAATCATTTCTTCAGTTCGTCAGCTTATAGTCATTTTGTGAAAGAGTCTTCTGTTCGTCGCCTTGGACTTGCCACGGTTTTTCCTAGTCTACCCAGAAGGAATTGGATTTTGGGAAAGGTTTCCCATCTTGATCTTTGCATCATTAGAAAGGCTGACAATCGGTAGGAAACTCTTGTGTTTTTCTTGGCACCTTGTTCAATAACTATGTATACCCTAGCTATATAGGTATAATCTTCCTGTCGAAACCAAAGTGTACCGTGTCGACGTTGATCCCCTCGATGTTCAGTCGAAGCGTGTTCCTGCATAATGATCGTTATCTTAGAGATAGCGATTTTCGAGTAATTATTTTGTATAGAGAGTAATGTACTACATATGCTCTAGTATTGTAGCATGCGCTAACATAAGAGGACATTTGAGTTTTGTCACTGTTGTTCTTCTTGTTAACGTGATTTTGTCATGACACACATATTGGTTCTCCCTTCGGTAATATATATGAAAGGTGTCTGGGTGAACTTGCAATTTGATGCATTATGTATATAAATCTCATAATCGTTCTCATATTCACAGCTTTTGCTCCAAACAATTCACCTTTTATTCAAATTTTTCCAACTGCTCAACTCATTGGTCTAAATGTGTGTGCAAGGTTTAAAACTGGCTCTGTACACCCTCAAATTCACTGATGGAAGAGGTGCTCTCTTGATATTTGATAGTTTGATAAATCTTGGCTGCTTTGCAGGCTCCAACTTACGCCATGAGAAGCCATATTCTGGCCTTTTCTGAGGGCAGGAAAGGATTGTGAAAGCCGACGCTGTTTTAGCTGATTGTGGTGAAAATTTTTTTTAAAATGTCGATCTACTTTTCGATGCCTAATAACGTTTAAGCATTTCTAGAGGGACAGAACGGGTAGTGTAAACTGACACTGTTTCAGCGATTGTTATAATAACATCCTTCTACTAATCCTATCTATTCCTCGATATCGAGCAACTCTTGGCCTTTCCCAAAGGCAAGAAATAATACTAAACGCTGACTTTTTTCAACTGAAGTAGTAGTGAAAGGTTCCTTGGCTTTCCGATTTGCTCTTCGATATCAAGCCATATTTCAACCTATTCTGATAGCAATGTAGGATTGTGAATCCCAATACTTCTATAAGAACGCAACAATAACATTGCTTGCAGGCTCTCGATCTTACTATCAAGTCACTTTTAGTCTTCTATAACGCATCGAAGTGATAGAGGACATTGACACTGTTTTAAATGAATGAAGTAATAACGTTTCTCAGACTCATAATTTGGACTTTGATTTCAGGTCATATTTTGACTTTTCTCAGGGAAACATGGGAAATGGAATCCCAAAACGTTTATTGTACCACTAGAAAGATCATTGTTTGTAAAGTCCCGCTATTTGGTCTTTATTGAGGGATGGAACGATAGGGGATTCGGTCACCGTTTCAGCAAATGTTATAATAAAAATATCCACATCCATCATCTCGATATCAAAACCTGTTTCATCAACTTGTGTTATAATATTTCTTGAACTCCACGCTATGGTAATATTACTCGGATTCCACATCTACTATCCTCTAACAAACCGCGATTCGGCAATGATCTAGCGACAGAAATAGTGAATACTGGCACTATCTCAACGAATAGCTATAATTTTCTCGATTTCCACATCTACAGCTCGATATCAGAACACCATTCAGCAATCCTTCAGCGATAGAAACGGTGAACGCTAACACTGTTTCATCGAATGTTATAACCTATCTCGGGTTCTGCGCTCCGATAACAATCCGCAATTCGGCAGTCCTTGAGCGAAAGAAATAGGGAACACTGACACCTTTCCAACAGAAGTTATAATATTTCTCAGAATCCAGCTCACTCTTCAATGACAAACCACGATTCGGTAATCCGTGAGCGATAGAAGTTGTGAACGCTAACACTGTTTCAACGAATATTTAACTTTTCTCAGATTCCAGCTCTCCTATTCAATGAGAAACCCCTATTCGGCTGGCCTTGAGCGATGGAAGTAGTAAACACTGTCACTGTTTCAACAAGAGTTATGCTTTTTCTCAGAAGTAGTGAACACTAATAATGTTTCAACAAATGTTGTAACTTTTTTAGGATTCCACTCCTACACATCGATAACAAACCGCTAATGGGCAATCCTTGAGCGAAAGAAATAGTGAAAACTGACACTTTCCCAA